GCCACCTTTCCTGAAGGTCCTCAAGGAACGTCGGTGGTGACCCAGGAGGGAGGGCTCCAGCTGCCTGTTGCTCGTGCTGCTTCGACCAACGACTTCAAGCACGATCTACAAGCCCCCCGGCAGGCCTCTTCACGCCCTGCGCATGGTTCTGGAGAGGACAAGGACTTCAGTAGGTCGGCGGCTCCGGTGTCCAAGAGCTGGAAGAACCGTTGGGGCGACCGGGATTCGACGGCCAAGAGCGGGACGGACGAACACCACCGCTCCACCCAGTCGNAGGCGTGGGCGCAGCCGGAGCGGAGACCGGCGTGGGAGAAACACGCCTCCGTCTAGGCGTAGCCGCAGCCGGAGCCAGAACCAGAGCGGGGGCAATAGCAGGGCGACCAGCAGTGACAGCAGTCGCGGCGGAAAAGGGGGACGGAGGTCAGGCCACGGTAACAGGCAAGTGATGTATGATCGAGGTGATTTTCGTAGCTCTGGGAACACAAGGATGCTTCAGAAGACGGTTCTCTCTGTTCTTCGCCGCTTGTTCTACGCCCTCCCGCCGATGTAGGCCAACCGACCAGCTCTTCTTTTNACGGTAACAGGCAAGTGATGTATGATCGAGGTGATTTTCGTAGCTCTGGGAACNAACCAGCCTACCGGGTCTTCGCCGGCGAGCCGCCATCGCCGGAGCAGGAGCCGGAGCGCAGAAGGTCAACAGCGCACCAATCCTTCGTCTAGGCGTGGGCACAGCCGGAGCGGAGACCGGCGTGGGAGAAACACGCCTCCGTCTAGGCGTAGCCGCAGCCGGAGCCAGAACCAGAGCGGGGGCAATAGCAGGGCGACCAGCAGTGACAGCAGTCGCGGCGGAAAAGGGGGACGGAGGTCAGGCCACGGTAACAGGCAAGTGATGTATGATCGAGGTGATTTTCGTAGCTCTGGGAACACAAGGATGCTTCAGANCGTCGACAGCCCCAGCCCTGTTGCAACAGCCTTTGGTGGTATCGCCCCCCCCCCTCCAGCGTGCGTCTGTTCTGGTTAATCCTAACTCTGCAACCGGCCACAGCGTCGAGCCACCGAGTCAAGCGCATCACCGTTGCCACAGGGCGATGCTGGTTTGCCTTGGTCTTCCACGGGAGCGAGAGCGAGGCAGGAGGCTCTTCACGCTGCGGACGCCGCTGCAGCGGAGGCCGACACCATCCGCATTCAAGACAAGATGGACAAGCTGAAGCCGGAACAACTTGATAGTGTCACACGCTTGCCCCTCGGTCCTGATCCTGATGAATTTGCTCGCTTCGCGTCTAGCTGCAAGGGTGTGGTCACAGAGATCCTCAACAAAAGCGACGTCAAGCGCAAGCAGACTTTCAATTCCTCCACCTGGGTCACCGGATGGCTTCCGTTGTTGCGCAAACGTGTCCGTGCTGCTGTCGTTGAAGGCCAAACCACCAACCGTGCCACTCTGGAATTTCTTGATGCCACCTTCCTACAGGTAGAAAACCATCTGCGCAAGGAACCGGCAGGGCCCTCGACGTACGCCTTCTTCATCCAGAAATTGGCGGCCGCCTGGGACACTCAAGACAAGAGCTCGGGGATTGATCGTCTTCGCAGTTTTGGCGTATCCAACGGCGAGACTTACGGAGAATACATCCGTCGCTATAAGGCTCTGGCCATGACCGTCATGGTTTCCCACCACGCGTTCAAGCCTTCGGATGCGCAAGTGCAGATAGCTGTTCGAGACTCCATGTTGAAGCAGTTTCCGGTAGTGTCTGGGCAGGTGTACAAGGATGAGCAGCTCTCCATGGAAGCCCCTTTTGGGCGACATGCTTCGTGTCTGGATGATATGTGGGATGTGTTGGACAAGCGTGCGTTCGCGCACACGCCGGCGGTGCATGGAGATGATTTCTTTTCGGTATCTTCCACGAATGCTAGGAGTTCGTCTGCTGTTTCGCGTGCTGTAGCTTCTTCGGCGTTGCGTTCGACGGTGACCCCTTCGTGGAGCCAAGGTTCTTCGGCCGCCGTGATGAGTGTTGACCCTCTACCTAATGATGATCGGGACCCTTTTCTGTTGCACTACAGCGACTGGCCGTTGCAAGGACACTTCCAAGAGGTGTACAACGTCGCTAGTGAGATGGCTCTAACCAAGAATGATCCGCCATTGTTCACCCCTTGGTCTCGGCTGAAGAGTGCCGCAACGCGCTTGGACTGTACAAGGGCAAGTGCCTCAACTGCTTGGGAGAAGACCACTCCTTCAAATCCTGTAATCGTGGTTTCGTGAACGCCACCGGCCTGCTTAACAATGACATCAAGTTCTGTATGGAAAAAGATCCCACCCTTTGGGGTCGGTGGAAAAAGCGCATGACCTCGTATAGACGCCCTACAGGACGCAACCCACATCGAAATCACCCCTTAGGACGCGCCCGCCGCTCATCTGACACATCGGACACGAAACAGTCCTCACACACAGAGCACTCGTCGGACGCTCCCACTTCGACAAAAAGGGGCTGGAGGGGTAAGAAATGACAAGCCGATGGCGGAGTTCAGCCGGTACTACCGTCAACAGCAACCACCGTGCACCCTTTTGGAGTCTCCTAAGATGTTCGTGTACAGCCTATTTCTTTGGATACTCCCCACGCTCCTAAATCACATCTAGATTTTCGGCCCGCCTCATCGTCGTCCGCCTCATCGCCTGCTGGTAATGGACATGACAGACCCATTCCGGCAGTACCTTTGTGGTGTGGGCGACAGGGAGCTAAGACGTCGAGCGGTCCATCCCTGCTCACCTCGTCGTCTCGGGTTACAGAAGGAACAAGAACCTCGTCTTCTACTATTCGTCAAGACTCTCCTGGTGTTGTCAGCCGGGCCTCTTCTCGGATCGCACACGAGCCCTCTTCTACACTCGTCGGGAACCCCGTCGATCCTCCTTCTCTTTCGCAACTTTCGTTGTCTTCGACCGTCCGCTGCCCCCGTGTGACAGCACGTGATACGAATGCGTCTTTCTCTGCTGCCCACCACGTGTTGACTGCACCACTGCCATCGGGATCGGATGGTAGTGCCCACCATTCTGGGGAAGGTTCGGCTCCTTTGTCAAGGGGGAGTAGTCAAGAGCGCCCTGCGTCAGTGATCAAACATCCGTCTGTTGGAGGAATGACTTCTCCTAACGAACGGGCCTCTAATAGCCGAATGGCCTCTGCTAGCATTGATCCCGCCGGAGCCGCCGCCCTAAGGCCGCCCTCCGGATGACGGAGCGGTGCGACTTCGCCCGCTCCTGCCTCGCTTTCTGGGTCCTCTCCGTCGGAGAAAAGGACCCGTCCGCCTGGTCCCCCCCCGCCTGTGCCTGGTGCCCGCTCTTTGCCCCTTCGCCCTGCACGGGCTCCGCCGTTTGATGACAATTGCGAGTACGCTTCGGATGACGTCCTTCTTTTCTGGAAACCTCCGTCTG